TTAAACGCTATTTATTTATTAGATGGTTTATTTACAAGAATAATTTTATATTTACAATATTCTGAAAATTAATATAATTAAAGCTAATGGAAGGCAATATTTATAATTTACCAATTTATAACGAAATAAATTCGAAAACAATTTTTTATTCATGAATTTATAAACCTTTACTAAATTATTAAAATATGTGAGCCAACTCTAAGGAAATCTTTATTATTTACCATTTTATAAAGTTCGAATCGATTGTCAATTAACCGATGTTTTGCTAACCGCTCGTATAAATAAGATAACAAATAACTAAAATGTAAATAACAATCTAATAAATACAGTGTAACCCGGATATAAGAGACCCGGATATAAGAGAAACCCGGATATAAGAGAAACCCGAATATAAGAGAGATTTTCTCTGGTCCCAAATTAGAGCTTGTGTTAATTTATATAAAATAGACCAAACTCAGATATAAGAGAAACCCGGATATAAGAGAAACCCGGATATAAGAGACTTCTTCTCCGGTTCCGACAACTCTCTTACATCCGGGTTACACTGTATAGTGTTTATTATTGTTGCTGTAAATTCTCAAGAACAAAGAAAATGTATAAATTCACTTTCATATGCTTTGGTTTTATTACAATTCTAATCATCGTTTTTTGAAACAATAAACTGCGCCCGCAATAAGATGAAATGTCAAATGTATCATCGCATATTAAAAACTCTTCGGCAATGTTTATTGTTTGAGAAACCCATATTTAGAATTGCAATAAAACCTAAATATATGATGAAAGTGAATTTATACTTGTTTTTTTTTTGTTCTTGAGAATTTACAACAAAAATATTAAACGGGATTTATTTATTAGATTGCTTATTTACAAGAACAATTTTATATTTACAATATCCTAAAAACGTATACAATTAATACTAATGGAAAACAATATTTATCATTTACCAATTTTAAGGAAATAAATATGAATAGAATGACTTATTCTTCAATTTATAAACTTATTAAATAATATTTATTCAAAATTATAACATATACATGTTATAACAACACTACAAAAATTGCAATTTTCTTTCAACGCTACTGGTGTCTTATCAAGTGATGATGATGATTACAAAATAATTGGTGTTAAGAGTTGAAAAAAACAACCAAACCCTCTCAGTAGGGGAAACATTGTTACATAACCTATGGTAACCAATCAGGATACAAGTATATGGAAGTTCAAAATAACGTGAGAATATCCACTAAGTACAATCTGTTAATGCACGAAAGTTAAGATTAGGTTAAATTAGAAAATCAAAATAACAAATAAAGTTTTAATTTCACGGTTAAATTTAAAGTTAAAAATTACAAATATCAAATTCTAAATTTAACCGGGCATCAAATTTAATATTATTACCAAATAGAAAAAAAGAATATTGTTCTTAGCGAAGTACCAATTTATCAGTTAAGTTCGATGCTGATGTAAGACGTATCTATGATCGCTAAATGTCAGGACAAACAAATTCCATACACAAACACGTATATATAATCAAATATATGAACACGCAAGCAGATATTCACACAGGAAATAGAAGGAAAAATTTAAAAAAGGAAAATAAAAAACAAAAAGAAGAATAAAAAGAAGAATAGAGACAGACAAACATAAAAAAAAACTTTGGAGAAAACTTGAAATGTAAGAAAGAAAGAAAGAAAAAAAGACGATGAAAAAAACAGATCTTAGAAAGTGAGACAATGAAAGAAAGAAACGCAAAAGAAAATTATATTATCTTCTTGTACTTTGACATTTACTAAATTCTAAAAATATGGGAATCATTTATTAAAAAAAATCCTAATTATTTAGTATTTTATATACTTCGAATCAATTGGCAATAAATAGAGTTTATTATTTTACGGGTAAATTCTTCAGAACAAAGAATATGTATAAATTCACTTTCATATGTTCACGTTTTAATAAAATTCCAATCATCACTTTTTAAAACAATAAACATTGCGCGTAAATTAAGCTAGTTAAAATAATATCGGTGTCAAGGAAAAAGCGTTCTTCTGATATTTCGCCTATTTTTTGCCGGTACGAAGATCCATGTTTACCTAAATTTTCATATATAAAGAACAATTTTAGGAAAATCTATGGAAAACTGGAAAATGTTTACGTATGATGCGTTTCGTTATGTTCATTGAACTGAACTGATGTTTACGCTGGTGTGATTACACATGCCCATGGAGGATTTTAATTTCAAATTGATATTTAATTTCTATTCTTCATTTTCTTTTGACAGGTTCTTTGTCTTTTTTATATCACTTTCCCCACATTGTGATAATGGAAAATCTGCTAAGAAAGATGAAATATAAATTTACTGTGGATGATCTAACGATTGAGTCAGTTTATATACATTTTTGTCACAGTAATTTTGTTTTTCTTTTTTAATCAAAGCATCATTTATTAAGACAAAATTATACTCAAACACAATATTGTGAGTCCCTAATGCATTGAATATGTTGAATATCTTCAGGTTTCTCCTATGTATTCCTTCTAACAATTATTACAGGTTACAATAAATGTCTCCTTCAAGTTTTAGGTTATTATTTTGTTTTGTATTAAGTATTTTATTGCTTTAGAAATACTTGTAAGTAATTTTATGCTAATTTTTGAAAAAAATTCTTTTCAGTTGTATTTGTGATATATTTGGTAGAAAGAATCATATATTTCGTAGAAAATATGTGCTTCACGATAGCAATCGAACCTGTAACAGCTATAGGAACCGTCATATAGCCTGAAATGCTTTTGCCATTCCCATTCAGTTACAGGTAAGCGTATGATGGTTCTCATATATATTGCAAGTTTTGATTCCTGTCGGAGAACGCTTATTTTCTACGAAACTTCTCGAACATTCAGTCCAGTAAATGTATTTAATACTGTTTAATTAAAAACAGGGTATTTACTTAAATAAATTATATCTATAAAACTAACGTATAAACAGAAAAAAAAAGAAATACTCATTGGACTTAATCGATTTCATATGTTATCATCGTTTACGTTATATTTCGAGAGCAGATATGATCGATCGAGATGAATCGTTGAAGATTATCTGTTTATAAACACTACGACTTTGACAAGCAGACAGTTCTTTGCGGCAAAATGGTTAAAAGCACATCAGATCTAATAATGGTTCCAATAAGAGTTACAGCTTTGATTCCTGTTGGAGAGCGCATATTTTCTGCGAAATTTCCCGCTCATACAGATCGGTAAAAGTAATGAATACTATTTAATTAAAAAAGCATAACATTTACTTAAATTACATCTATAAAACTAACATATAAACAGAAGATTAAATAATTTCATAATATATTTCATAATATATATATATATATATATATATATATATATATATATATATATAGAGAGAGAGAGAGAGAGAGAGAGATAGATAGATAGATAGATAGATAGATAGATAGATAGATATGATCAAATGAAAGAAGTGATCATGAAAGTTTCTGAATCGAGAAATTTGAATCGAAAATGAAGTGAATAATGTAATTCCGAAGAAAAAAAAGATCGTTAAGAAAATAGGAAAGAAGAAAGGAAGGAATTATGTAGAAAGAAAGAAAGAAAGAAAGAAAGAAAAATAAATAAATAAGGAAAGAAAGAAAGAAAGATAATAAGGAAAGAAATGAAGAAAGAAAAAAGACAGAAAGAAAGAAAAAAAGAAAAGAAAGATACAAAATATATATTTGAAAGTAAAACAACAAAAAAAAGAATAAAGAAAGGAAAACATATTTTGAAAAAAAGAAAGAAAGAAAGAAGAAAGAAAAATATATGCTGGAAATAGAAAGAAAGAAAGAAAAAAAAAAGAAAGAAGAGAGAATGAAGATGATAGGTCGAGAAAATAAATGTAAAATATAAAAAAATAAAGCTCCAAAATGAGAAACAGAAACACAAAGATCAATAATTGAAAAATCGAAAAGGAACGCTGAGAATTTAAAAAAGAAAATATTAATATTTTAAGAAGCAAACGACGAGGAATTTTAAGTAAATCAAAGGAGGTATATAAAGGGAGAAAAATTCAAAGAAAGAATGAAATGTTTTAAAGTAGGAAAAAACGAACCGAAAAAATAGAAATGAGAAATATTGAAAAGTAAAAAGGATGAAAATATAGAAAAGAAATATTGGAAAGTAGAAAGGATGAAAAGAAAGAAAGAAAGAAAGAAAGGATGAAAAGAAAGAAAGAAAGAAAGAATGAAAAGAAAGAAAGAAAGAAAGAAAGAAAGGATGAAAAGAAAGAAAGAAAGAAAGAAAGAAAGAATGAAAAGAAAGAAAGAAAGAAAGAAAGAAAGGATGAAAAGAAAGAAAGAAAGAAAGAAAGAATGAAAAGAAAGAAAGAAAGAAAGAAAGGATGAAAAGAAAGAAAGAAAGAAAGGATGAAAAGAAAGAAAGAAAGAAAGAATGAAAAGAAAGAAAGAAAGAAAGAAAGGATGAAAAGAAAGAAAGAAAGAAAGAATGAAAAGAAAGAAAGAAAGAAAGGATGAAAAGAAAGAAAGAAAGAAAGAATGAAAAGAGAGAAAGAAAGAAAGAAAGAATGAAAAGAAAGAAAGAAAGAAAGGATGAAAAGAAAGAAAGAAAGAATGAAAAGAAAGAAAGAAAGAAAGAAAGGATGAAAAGAAGGATAGACATAAATAAAAAAGAATAAAAATAAAGAATCAGAAAAAGATAATCATTTTTCGATAGATAGATAGATAGATAGATAGATAGATAGAAACATGAAAAAAGAAATATGAAAAAAAGAAAGTGAGACAATAAAAAAGAAAGAAAACGTTGAAAAGCGAAACAAAAAAGACAGAAGGAAAGACATATATGTAGGAAAGAGAAAGAAAGAAAGAAAGAATAAATAGATTCAAAGCGGGCAATAAAAACAAATAAATAAATAAATAAGGAATGAATGAAAGAAAAAATATATGTAGGAAGGAAAAAGAAAGAAAGGAATGTATGTAAGAATGTGAAAGAAATTAAGAAAGAAAGAAAGAATAGAATGTGATAAGTGAAATATTAAAAAACAAAGAAAGAAAGAAAGAATTAATGAATGAAAGAAATATATGAGAAAAGAAAGAAAGAAAGAAATATATGTAGGAAGAAGATTGATTGAAAGAAAGATAAAATATTGATGATGGAAATCCAAACAATAAAGAAAGAAGTGTTGAAAGATAAATATTAAAAAGAAAGAAAGAAATATATGCAAGTTTGACAAAGAAAGAAAGAAAGAGATGTTGAAAAGCGAAAGGAAGAAAGAAACAACGATATGTTGGAAAACGAAACAATAAAGAAAGAAATAGATGCTGAAAAGCGAAATATTAAAGAAGAAAGAAAGAAAGAAAGAATGAATAAATGAATGAATGAAAAAAGAACATTAAAAATATGGATGTTAGAAAGCGATAGGATAAAGAAAGAAATGAGTCCTGAAAAGCGAAATATTAAAAAAAGAAGGTAAGAAAGAAATATGTAGGAAAGAAAAAATATATGTAGGAAAGAAAAAAAAATAAACAAACATATGTTGAAAAGTGAAAGAAAGAAAGAAAGAAAGAAAGAAAGAAAGAAAGAATAAATAGAGGGAAGTGAAAATAAAATAAAACGAAAGAAAGAAAGAAAGAAAGAAAGAAAGAAAGAAAGAAAGAAAGAAAGAAAGAATGAAAAAGAAAGAAAGAAAGAAAGAAAGAATAAATAGAGGGAAGTGAAAATGAAATAAAACGAAAGAAAGAAAGAAAGAAAGAAAGAAAGAAAGAAAGAAAGAAAGAAAGATAAAATATGCGTTGGAAGTTAAAACAAAACAGAAAGAAAGACTGGAAGACTTATGTAGGAAACTCATATAAACAAAGAAATAGATCTTGGAAATAGAAAGAAAGAAAGAAAAAAGAAAGCAAGAAGGGTGGAAGGGAGGAAGTATATATAAATAAAGAAAAGGTAAGAAAGAAAGAAAGAAAGAAAGAAAGAAAGAAGAAAGGAAGGAAATATATATAAAGTGAGAAAGAAAGAAAGAATTGTTTATAAAAACATCTAATAAAATATAAAAACGCCGAATATTTTTGTTAATGGTTAAGAACGAAAAGATGTAAACGGTGAAAAATCTCAGAGAAATAAACTGGAAAAATCGAAAAATGGCAGATTTTTTTCTCTGTCGGCTTTTTTCTATTATTTTCATTTCGTATTTCTGTTTCCTATTCACTTGTGGGACCCTCGGGTCTGGGGACTGCAAACCAAAACCAGTGCCTATCAATGACATATACAATGCATATATCTGATTCATTTCTATTCAGGAGACAACGACCCCAACCCACACATCTATCACAAAATAAAAAAAAAATAAGAGCCCCTTGCCGTGAACCCCTAATCTGGTCCTAACCCCTACTCTCACCCCTAACCACACAATACCTTAACCAGTTTTCGCATTCACACCCAAGCCCGTTACCATAAAGGCTTGTCACGTTTTTCTTTTGTTTCTATATACGTCTATTTCCTTTATAGAATAAATGTCGCCCATCATAGCTTGTAGATGACGACGAAAATACTTCCTCTAGATCTTAAAACATAAATAAAAAAAAGTTAAGCAATATATATATATATATATAATAATCAGTGTACCCGGCTACTTTTTTTAATACAAAGTTTTTGATTAAACATGTTAGGCCCGTTTTGCCTGTGGTAAAAAATCTACCGTTCACCTTCATATCAGCGCGCATGCGCGTATAGTTGTTCACTTTTTTTTTATTTCGAGGTGGATATTGTTAACGCATATTTTCGAAATGGTGGTTCGCTCTCTTCCACAACCAGATCTACCGCTGTTGCTGCAGTTAATGTCAATAAGCAATTATTTGCATGTTAATTCTTTAAAAAAGGTTGTCAAGGCCATGATGGCACTAAAAATGTCGTTTCTCTTTTTCTGGTAATGGCTGACATCCTTATAACGATTATTGGACTGCTCGATAAAAAAATAAAGAAGTACTCTTAAATAAAAATAATACCTCAATTTTTATTGGTCTAACGATTTTTCAGAAACAAATAAATCCGAATTCGATAGGATACCACTAGCCCTGAAATGTTAATTACATATTTTATCATCTTTACTTACCAATAATGGCCCGATGTTCTATGTTGTTCCAGTTATTTTAAATATTTCTAATAAAAGGCATATACGATAAACACGCCAATATATTGTTTACATAGTTATTTTTCAAGCATAGCTGTGGCACAAGGCCGAAAGAATGGGGCATCTAGTGAGGACCGAACTCACTTTTCAGTTGTAATTGTTCTAGCGAGACAAGCTTGCTAACCATTTCACCACGCCGAGGTGCCCCAGTGTTTATATATTAATAACAATTTCTATAAAAATTTGGCATCCATTAATCGAACAGTTAGCATTAATTTCTGTTAAAATTTATAAAATCTTTCTCTGAAATATCTTTTTTTCAGAAAAAAAAGGATTTTTTAAAAAAATCCACTAGCTGTTATAGCTCTTTCTACAGTGTGTCCAGTATAAAAGCTGCTAATTCAGATAGACGTGAGACAACCATTGAAAACTGGTGACAACTAATGTGACTGAATAATTCAAGAAGAATTTCTTCACAATTCCTAAATTCCCACGTCGGATGATCTTTGAAAATTACGATAACTTGATGCTCAAAATCACTGAGTTGTTTAAACATAGCAGAGGGACAGGACGAAAGACGAATGATGTCTGCTTAAAACCTTTAAATGTCAAGTCACAAGATCGAGCTGCAATTAATTATTCATAAAAGACCCAAACAGTTAAGTAATTACGAAAGAGTCGAATAATAACATTGGTCAATACGATTTTTGGTGCCAAGAAACAAAACGTTTTTAGCTACTTTGATGGTGCTGATTCCGAAAATTACGACCTTGGCAGATTGCGAAATTTAGTTAATAAAGATCGTAGAAACCAATCAATTTTCAGGTAGGCCGAACAATCTATGTCAGCCACATGAAATAAACTATTTTTATAAGAAAAAAGTAATTTGAGTCAAAAATTTTAAAACAGAAATAGCGAATTATTCCAATTTATCGCTAAAATTCAAATTAACTGATAAACTTTATCAGTAATACACTTTAATAAACCTGATAATTAAGGTGACATAAAAAAAATGAAACCATAAAACCTGTTTATATTCATAAATTTATCCATAACTTTTATTCCTTCACTACGGAAGGAAAGCAAGTACATTGAGAGCATTTTGTTTTTACATTTGGAAAGAAACTCCAACTAAAGACATCCCAATTGAATGCACCTATTCCATTGTACATGATACTGCTGAAGTATCAAAAGAGACTTAAATAACATTGAACATGACAGACAATCAAGAAAAAGACAAATTTTATCATAGTTCTTATGTTGACGAAAGTTTTATTTCTGCTGTTAGTTTATCAAATGATTTGATGAAAATACTTGTTGGTTTTAGTATATTCAATCGTGTTATTTTTAAAGATTTATTTACCGGTTTAAATAAGAGTTGAGAGGTTTCTACGATTATTACGAGAAATATTGCCATCGGTCAATATCATAGATACAGAAAACAAATGAAAAAAATGCTTTTTTTTCCCAAAAATGAGGCATTTCTGTACTGCAAAAACGTCAACTAACCAAGAAAAAGTAAGATCATTTTCAGATTCAGCGCCCTGTAGCTAAAAAAGATATTTGGTGTCTCGACATCATTTCAATTTTTTTTTCTAACCAGTGTTATTCAAGGTCATGAATATTCAATAAATTTCTTCAAGGTTATCCAAGGTCTATTATTCCTGAAAGATAAAAAAAAAAATGATAATAAATTTACCGCTTTTATACTTTGCATTAGTTCATACATTATTAACTATAATAATGTCCTCGTCTTTATTGCCACATTCCGACGTTTCGGGCGTAGTACACTCTGGCCTTCTTCGAACTAAACGCTTTACTTCGTCCGCGGAGGTAGATTGTCCTAGTCCCATGTGTCATGACTCTTCCGGATATCTCAGTTATCTCCCTTTAATTCAATTCTCCAACTTTTTGTTCACCAATGCCTTAGTCAGGTATTGATCAGATCCAGTGACTTGACTCAAAGTGTTGTGAGTCAAATACCAGGACACGGCACTGGTCAGAATGTTTATAATTATCGCCTACCTTTGTAAAAGTAATGCAGTTTTAGTATTTCAAACTTGATCATACAGAATGCCCATTAAAAAAAAAAGTAAATTCAGAAAGAAATGGATTTAACTATCATGATTCATGCACAAAGTCAGCAATCATCGTAGATGTTTGAAATGTTTGCCTGAATGTTCAACACAAAGTTGTAAGCATGGTAAGCAGGAGGCAGTAGCTTTATTCAAGATCATGAATATTCAAGAAACTTATTCAAGTTTATTCAAGGTCAATTATTCCTGAAAGATGATACAGTGACAATAAATCTTCCGCCTTTTTTATACTGGGCACTATGTCGTACTGATATCTGTTTCCTTCCTAACCTTCTGTTTATATTTGTGTGGAACATCAATATCTTTATTATGTCATTATTTTTTCTTCGAATTACATGTGCTATCCCAGTTTAGTGTGGCTTCACTTAAAAGTCTTTTAGTGATATTATTTGTTTTATTTGGCAAACATTTGACTGGGAAGCAAGAAAGCGGAAATGCGAGAGACGAAACATTAAGCATAGAATTTACGGTTAGAGCTAGCAATATCAACTTATGAGACCTAACTGCCAATCTAGTATTGCGCTTTGAACATTTCCCGGGAAAATATTTATAGAAAATGCATAGGGGGGCGCAACATTACGGCGATGGCAAAGTTACTGAAGCCGAGATCCTAAGTCTGTTCTACAAATACTTTCATGGAAATTGCTCCGAGGAGCTGCATTCGCTGGTTCCCAGACGTCATGAGTTCCAGCGCCCTACGATGCTGGCATCCCGCTCTCACCCCTTCACTCTCGAAACTCCTAAATGTAGCCGTCTCTTCTACTCTAATAGCTTCATGTCTCGCACTTCTTGCCTGTGGAACTTCCTTCGCTTCTCCTGTTTCCCTGTGAGCTATAATCTCCAGCTATTCAAGTGTAATGTCAATCGACATCTCCAGTTGCCTTGATCTATCCACTACGCTCATTCTTTCTTCTATCACTCCTATCTGATCTTGCTCTAAATTTTCTGTAACCCCTTGCGTCCTAGTGGCTCCCCGCCTTGCTTGGGGTGAAATGCTTAAAAAAAAAAAGAAAAAAAAAAGTAACATAGCAGGATCAGCAGAACAGCTACGGCAGTAATATTCAATGCATGGACGAAAAGTAGATATATATGCGATAAATTCTGGCGAGAAAAATTCTCTAAGTGAAACAAATTTCCTAGCACCTTCCTTGTATCTTCTTTTAGTTTAATGATTTTTTATTCTGTGTGATCGATAGTCGTTATTATGCCATTCAGGTTTCATCCGCTTAAAGCCATTGTTAATCATGAATCTTAAAAAATTACTGCATATTGCTGATAATTTAGGCATTTCTCAACGAGTTGGACGCCATCGTTATTCTAGGGCAGACATGGTTATTTAAGAACATGACTCGAGTTCTTTGGTTAAGGTTAGGGTTTTGCAGGATTAGTGTTGTTGAAACAAAAAACTACTCCTAGCGCAGTCTGTTCTACGTTAGAATTCCTTATCTCCCGATAGTAAATTTGTGTTTCTTCTATTTCTTTATGCCGTGTCATTTAAGGACGTAGGTGATCATAGCTCTCCACAATTTTCTTTCCTTTGTAGCTCTTAATAAATATTTTCTTTTTGTTATATCTTCTAAATTTTCCCCGCCATTCATTTGCTTAAACTCATTATGTTATGCGTTGTTTTCCTGTCAATCGTGCCTTCAAACTGTCCTGTAAGTATCAGATTTGTCAAGCCCTCTTTTCTCATTATTCACTGCCATATAAGAGGACTAATATTACGTAACAGTTCAGTACTCTTTGCTTTGTTTCTAGCGATTTTTTTTTCTGTTTCTTAATACTCTTCTTAGCTTTTAGAACGCATCTTTGCTTATTCAGGTCTTCTGTTAAAACATTTTCCAGATATTTAAATTTTGTCCTTGTTTGATGTTGTCATTCCCAGAGTGTAATTTTTATGTTGGGCTGTCCCTTTTGCTAACGACCATGTTCTCCGTCTTTTTAATATTAACCTTTAGTCCTTTTGTTTTTCGCTTTCCTTTCCTAAATTCTGTTGAACTTCTTGTAGCTTCCATTCCCTATCCGTTATCAACATTGTGTTATCTGCATATCTCATGTTGTTAAGAGGGTGGCTGCTAATTATGAATCCAATAGGAATTTAAGCTCCTGCAGAGTTCCTTATTAATTTTATATTCCGTATTTTTATGATGCTTTTATATTAAGTGCCGTCACTATTTTCATTGCAATTCTAGATCATACACTCTACTTTGAATAGGTTTAAATTAAGTCCTAATTTTTGCAACACTTGGTGTAGAATGTTGATATGTTTCGAAAGATAATTTTTACCCCAGCTTTGAATACCGATTTCATTAGCTTTGCCAGTCACCTCATTAACAGTACACTAGTGTCTATGGGGAAAACAGACGAAACCGAATTATATCCTGAAAAATTACCAACATCTTTTAGTTAATACGAATTATAGGAATTAAAATATCCATTATAGTTAAGTAGCAACTATCAAACTTCTCGATGTCATCATTTTCCAGTTCAGTATTTT